GGAACTTGACATGGACATATCTTCTGGGGGCCACCATTCAACCCACTATAGGGAAGATAGGAACAATAAAGGAGATAGAAGCAGGAAGAAAATTTAACAAATAGGTTGAGTTTAAATCAAAGAAAAAAAAAACGAGGAAGAAAACATTTTTTAATTTTTTCTTACATCAAATATGTGTAGGACTATTTCTCTTAAGTACACCTCTCTTTGAATGGTTCTACCAGTTTGCCTTGTATCAACATTACTATTTTGTATTTCAATTCTCTTTTTGGTAAGAGTTAAAGCACTATATGAGTTTGGGTAAACTCCGGGAGTTGGTGATGGACAGGGAGGCCTGGCGTGCTGCGATTCATGGGGTCGCAAAGAGTCGGAAACGACTGAGCGACTGAACTGAACTGAAGCACTATATGAGCATTTCCAAATTTCTACCCTTAACTTTGATTCTGACTCCCTTTGAGCCTAAGAGCTGTTAAGTGTTCTAAGTAGGATGCAGCACAGACAAGCAGAAAGTGGAACAAAATCTCAGCTCCAAGTGATGGCGTGGAATTTCAATGTCCACAGTTGCCTTCATATCATCATCCTGGTGATGTCTTCTGGAAAGCTCAGTTTTCAGCCCCTGCCTTGCTGGGTGTAACTCTCCCACCAGGCTAATGACCATCCCCGCCCCGACCATGAACTCCTTCTAGCCTCTGAGCCTGTTTTCTCCTCACTGCCACGACCTCTCCCACCCCCTTTCTGCCCCCAGCTGCTGCAAGTCAACTTTCCCAGGGAAATTCTCCCTCGTCAGCTCCATCTCTGCCGCGTTCATCACTGCAGAACTCCCTCTGCACACGGCTCCCACGCAGGTAGCAAATGCATATATCTCCGTGGCTGCTCCGAATTACAAGTTCACACACGTGTTTTCAGCTGCCTGTGTTTTGAGAGCATCCTCTCTTCTCTTAGGGCTTCCTAAGTGGCTCAGATGGTAAAGAATCTGGCTTCAGTGCAGGAGATCCGGGTTCGACCCCTGGTGTCAGGAAGATCCCTGGAGAGGGGAATGGCAACGCACTCCAGTCTTCTTCCCTGGAGAATCCCATGGATAGAGGAGCCTGGTGGGCTACAGTCCATGGGGTCGCAGAGAGTCGGACAGGACTGAGCGACTGACACTTTCACTTTTCTTTCTCTTCTATTTTAAGCCCTGCAAGGTCAAGGGTGCTGTCTGCTGCTCTCTTCAGAACCAAAGCTTGTCCTCCACTGGTAGGCACTTCCCAGGCTGGTGCTCCTCAAACGTTACAGTGCCCCCGAATCACCTGGCGGTCCTGTTCAAATGCAGATTCTGGGGTACAGTGTGACAGGCTGCGTTTCTTCTTTCCCATTTAGATCATCTGGGTGAACATCTCACTCAAGCTGCACTGGCTCTGTGTTGAGATACCCTGATGTAACTGATAGAAATCCCTTCAGGGGTTCCCTCCTTCCTCTTCAAAGAGGAAAAAAAATAAAATCCCACAATAGTATCTATTTTTCCAAGAATGCCGTAGTATGATCATTTTCTCTCATTGTCAATGCAGGGAGATGATTATCAAAGGCAGCAATAGAGCTGAGCCGTAGTAATTACAAGGATGATATTAAACACAGGTTTGTCTTATGGGATGAGACAAACACAGACTCTGTATAAGACATGTTCTGGCATCGAGAGCTGTAGGGATATTAGAGTAATGGGTGTCAGAAGGTGGCTTCACGGAGGTGGCATTCAGGGCACAGAGCAGAATCAAGAAAAATGCCAGATGGGTGTGCACACCTGTTCTGCTGTCTGCCAGGGGTCAGAGGAAAGGGGGTGCTGGCAGACACCAGACTCAGCATCTTCTTCCAGCCAGCACTGAGGTATATTCCATCCCAGTCCCCTCTCCACCCACCTTCTCTTATAACAATAAACGACTGTGTATCTCAGCTTCCAAATTCAACTTGAGACACGAACATTCATGCATCTTCTAAGAGGAGTGCGTGCTTAGTCGTTTCAGTCCTGTCCGACTCCTTGCGACCCCATGGACTGGAGCCCACCAGGTTTCTCTGTCCATGGGATTCTCCAAGCAAGAATACTAGAGTGGGTTGCCATGCCCTCCTCCAGGGGATCTTTCCTACCCAGGTATTGAACCCACGTTTCCTGCATCTCCCCTGCATTACAGGTAGATTCTTAACCCACTGAGCCATCTGGGAAGCCCCTTCTAAGAAGAGTAGGGTCCTACAGAACTTTCAGCACAGATGGACATGTTCTACCACCGCTCCAATACAGTAGCCACCATGTGCATGGACTGTTGGGCACTTGAAGTGTGGCCAGTGCAACTGAGGCACCGAAAATTAATCTCACTTCATTTTCATTTATTTAAGTGTGAATAGCCATGTGCAGCTAGTGGATACCATTACTGGCCAGCAGAGTTAGAAGCTCAAACTCAGGGTAGACTGTTTAGGAAAAGGAACCACTGAAGAAGGGAACAGCTCTCTGAGGTCCACCCGAGGCCTCTACGCACTAAACCTGAATAGAGAGCCCCAGACTGCAGAGCGTCGCCTTGAGACTAAGCTGGAGGTCATGTCAGTATTCTCTCTACTACAATGCATTGATAACTTGGTCAATTAAGGTAGGGACACTTGAGCTCTTGGGTCTGGTTACATATTCAGTGAGCAAATCAAAGACTGCTGTGGGCTTCACTGTTTTATTTTTTTTTTTTTTGGCTTCACTGTTTTAATAAGATCACGTAGAGTTTGTGCAGCTCTGTTATTCTGATCCGTGGGCAGAGAGTAAGGTGGAAAAGGCTCGCAATTTTCAAAATTTATTTTTTAAAAAAGTTGTGTTTTCTGCTCAGAAGGAACTTAAGAGGTGACACAGTTTGGGAGAGGGCTCGAGTATTTAAAAAAGAGCATAGCAAATAGTGACCCGTAACACACTGCAATTAATTCTTTCATACACTCCTCTAGCAGAGCAAACGGCTCCTTGGCCACCTCTGTGTATATTTCGTCATGTCAGTCCTGTCCGACTCTTTGCAACCCCATGGACCATAGCCTGCCAGGTTCCTCTGTCCATGGGATTCTCCAGTCAAGAATACTGGAGGGGGTTGCCTTGCTCTCCTCCACGGGATCTTCCCAACCCAGGGATCAAACCTGTATCTCTTGTCTCTTGTATTGGCAGGTGGGTTTTTGTTTTTGTTTTTAAACCATTAGCGCCACCTGGGAAGGGCTTCCCTTGGAGCTCAGTGGGTAAAGAATCTGCCTGCAGTTGAACCTGGGTTCAATCCTTGGGTTGGAAAGATCTCCTGGAGAAGGAAAAGGCTACCCACTCCAGTATTCTGGTCTGNGGATTGTAATATACTTAAAGAGAACAGAACTCCAATTGAGGATTCCCTGACATCTTCTTCTAGAGCAGACCATGGCAACTGGACACCTGGTGTTCCTAAGTACAGAATGCAAATGAAGCTCGGAATATGCTGACTTGGACAGACGCTTTGCATGTGAGGAGTAGTATGAATGAGTGGGAGATCTGGTGTGATCAGAAGCATATTATAACGCAGTAATTGAATATCCCCAGTGGGTGGTGGACCCTATTCCCCATGAGGTGAGCTGTAAGTGTAGAGAATTTGCTTAATGACCTGTCTTTTGCAGTGGTGTAAGACAACAGGGTGGGGCTTCCCCGGTGGCCCAGTGGTAAAGAATCTACCTGCAATTCAGGAGGCACATGGGTTCGATCCCTGCCTGGGTCGGGGAAGATCCCTTGGAGGAGGGCATGGCAGCCCACTCCAGTATTCTTGCCGGGAGAATCCCATGGACAGAGGAGCCTGGTGAGTTACAGTCTGTAGGGCCACAAAGAGTCAGACATGAATGAAGTGATGGAGCACGCACGCAAGGCACAGGGTATTATGAAATTCACTTTGGAGAAGTTCTTGGAAACAACGGGTGGTGATAGCGCATCCTTTAGCTGATACTGTTTTCACTGGCCAGAAAAGAGAACAAGGGCTCACAGGGAATGGGGCATGGAGGGAGTAACAAGCTTGGGGTCAGACACACCTGGCTGTAAAACATTTGCCCACTTAGGCTTTGTATGGAGATCACCTGGGAGCTTGTTAAAAGTTCAGATTCCTGGTCATTTCACTGAGCTACTAAACCAGGATCTCTCCGCTGGGGGTCGAAAAGGCTCTTTTTAAAACAAACACCCAATGTGACTGTGCTGTGAGGCTTCTCTTAGCGTTAGCTCTGTGAAAGGTGAGGTAGGATTCACGATACTTGGAGTCAGGATTATGGTATAGATATAGTGTCATTTAAAAAGCAACAACAACAAACGGGTAGATCAAACTAAGGCTGGATAAACTTGTCGCTGTTACTATTCTTAAGCCATGGATTTGCCTTCTTGAAGGTACCGTTCTTTTCTTCAGAGATCTCAGGTTGATGTCATTTGCCTTGCTGAGCCTTATTAACTGTGCCAGTTCAGGTGGAGGAGCTTCACCCAAATTAGCTAGGATGCCAAAGTTGCAGGTTGTTGTTTCTGAGGATTGATAAAAGCAACATTTCCTGTTCCCTTTCAACTCTTTAAGTTTTAATGACATGGGTGTAAGGCCCTCTTCAGGTCGGGGAATTTCTATTGAACGTGAAAACATCAGTTCTGTTGTAACAGGTTGTCGACTCCAGTGAAAAGTCAAAGGCTTGGGGGGCGGATCAGCCCGAGAATGGTAACGTGTTCTGGCCCTAGAGAGGCGCGTGCACCCCGAGGGCCCCTAACACAGCGGCCTTCGGTGTGGCCCATCTTGCTTTCAATTGGCAGCAAGAGGCTGGAGGAAATGGGGGGCGGGGGAGGCTGGCGTTCTGCCCTGCAGTTCGAGAGAGTGAAGGTAGCTGCAAAACCCGGCAGGCTCCAGTGGCTGGTGCTGAGACGCGCGGAGGGGTGGGGCTGCCCCGCGAGGATGAGCGCGTGAGGCCCGGAGGGCGGCGGGGGCGCAGCAGCCCAGGTGGGACTGGGGAGTGCTTGCCGGAAACCCTCCTCCGGCCTCGGCGTCCCGATTGGCTCGGGCGGGGAGGTCGGCAAGGTCAAGACCCCCTCGGCGCCTTCTTCTGATCCGCCTGCCGCGGTCGGGCGGCTGTCCAGACGCGGGTTGCGGGGCGTGGCGGGGGCATGCTGGCCAGGCGGCGGGGCGCTAGGGGCAGCGCGCGGGGGCCGGGGCAGCGCCCGGCCCGGGGCGCCCGGGGGCCGGATGGCGGAGCCCACGCGCGCCGCGGAGCCGGGGAGATTTGCGCTCCGCTCGCCGCGCTGCAGGGAGGGCGAGGTGCCAGGCGCGAGCGCCCAGAGACCCAAAAGGAAAGCTTTTTATTTGCTGAGGATGAAGTCCCTGAAGGGGCCCGCCCCCAACAACAACAACAACGTGTCCTTTGTGATCCACTGTCAACTGGGCAAGGAGATCAAACACATTTGCAGCGACTGCAGTCGTGGGGAGGACGCCCGGGACGGTGAGTGTCGGGGCGCGTCGGGGCGGCGGCGAACGCGGGAGGGGAGGAGGCGGCCCTGCCGGTCCCAGTTTGGGGGCGCCGCGGGCGGCTCTCCCCGGAGAACTGCGGGGACATCCGCCTTCTAACCGGGCGTGACGCCAGCCCAGCCGGCACTTTGCGGAGCGCTGCCCAGAGCCAAGCCCGGACCGCATCCGTGCTTAGACCATTGATGGGAACGCTCCCCCCAAACGAGGGGTTTGAAACAGTTAGAGAGGCAACTCTGGGATTTTTCTCTTGGGAAGGTGGGGCTTTAGAGGGTTCATCAGGGGCAACGTGATTAGCTTTAAAGAGACGATTCCACCTGCTTTCCTAGCTTTCTGGGCTTCTCAGCTGTTCTCCCACCCTTGCGTTATGATAGGATGTGAGCTCTGCTGGGCTGCGTGACAGATGTGGGCGTCGGGTGGGTTGACTCTGGAGAGGTGGTTTGGCCTCGGCCCCAGCGCCTTGCACCTTGGAGACTTGTGGAGTTGTGGAATGATGTCCGTTCGGAGTAAAACATGGCCGTGGTTTTTGGAGTGCCGTTGCTGGACCCTCCTGGAATGATGCCTACTGGCCAAATGTGGGAGGTGGGGGAGAGACGGCAGCGGCTTCCTCCAGGTGAGCTAAAGAGCGCCCCCCAAACCGCTGAGAGCGCGGCGGTTGAAAGGGTACCGGGCCTCAGCGACTCTGGGCAGAAGGAGCCGAGCAGGAGGGCCAGCCCTGCGCGGGCAGAAAGCTCTGCCGTTGTGGGCGCGCCTCGGTAACGGTCCAGCCTCCCCCAGGCAGTTGGAAACAGCTCACAGAGCTTGGCTCCGGAGGGCCTCTGAAGGTCTGGGAAAAGTTTCAGGCAGCGGGTTTTGCAGGGAAAGCATTAGCTATTGGCCAGGCTGAAGCTCATCGCCTGGCTTGACGCTGCACACACCTGCTTGGGCAGGCAGATTTCTGCTACCAGCCCCAGGCGGGGTTCGCTTGTTCCCTTTGGAAGAGCACTTATTACTTAGGGCTTTCTCTGGTTCCTTGCTGGCCTCTGAAGTGCAGCGTAATGAAGTGACTGGCTTGGCTAATGTCTTTTCAAAATTAAGAGCCCTGCTAGCATAATTATACTTTTCTTTGATTAAACTGCAAGAGAGGCTGTGCGGATGGTGTTAGCATCCAGGAGGAAAACCGAACTGGAGAAAGGCGGGCACACAGCACCCTGGTAGGTCTGGGGGAGGAAACCCACAGCGACATGCAGCTTGGTTCTGTGGTTACTCTCTAAGCTGACGGACGACACCTATGGGATATATAAATGGATTAGTGAGATGATCCAAAGCCACTCTTTTACTGTTTACTATAATAGAGCATGAGATGCAGGCTAAAATATTTATTAAATGAGTCATTCTGTTGACGGAATTGCTTCCCAGATGGGCTACTTCCACAACCTTGGGGAATTGATTTAAATTAGGATCTCTGAATGTTACCACAGTAGAGAAGGGTCTGTACCCACACTCGGGGATGTGGGTTCATGTGTATAATTATGAACACGATGCTTCTGCTTACAATCCGCGTCATCTCCACAACCTCAAACGCTCCAGAATGTGTTACGGAGCCGTCTTTGTGGGTGTTCACACATCACCTGATGGGACTAAAGCCTTTCCTTTTAAAGGATTCTTGTGTAGGGGGAACCTCATGTGGGGGTGCTTAATTTTTGCCAAGTTCTCCCCCGGCTAATCCTGCCTTGCCGTGTGTGCGGAGCTCTTTAGTCACTGAGAGAAAATGAGGTCAGGAGCTTCACCCTTCTCCTATTACTGCCGGAGCCCAAACCAGCACTGCCCACTGTGAATGGAAAGGAAGTTCAGATAAATTTCACTTTCCGCGGAGACTGACCTTGAATGTATCTCGTAATGAGTGGAGGTTCTGCGAGTGAAGTTCTCCAGCAGCTGTTTTTCAATTTGAGTCATCTATTTCTGCATGCCAGGAAGAGCCAGCTATTTTAAAGGAAGTGTGTAGTAAAGATTGTAGTAAGGCCAACAGATTTGGTAGGACTCAACCGAGGAGGACATTTCTTATGGTGGGGTGTGCCTGTGTTGTGTCCAGCACCCTAAATATGTTAGGTTTCTCCTTCAGCACCACGGAGGTCATTTAGTAGCCATCAGGGAAAGTTCTGGTCTAACTGGAAAGTCCTTAGCTGAAATTTTACACAGGGAGAATTTTATAGAGGTATTGCCCACTGAGGCTCAATCTTAATTTCCTCATATATAGGATGTATTTAAACATTTTTATAATTCAGTCTAAAGACAATCTGTAAAACTATTTGGCTGATAGAAAATAAACTTTAAAAGAAAAAAGATCCCTGGCTCAGTGAACATATATAAAAAGTGAAATTGCGTTTCAACACTTGCCCTTTTACTTAACTTTTGTTTTTCTTTAAGTTCCTGGTATCCACTGACTAGAACTAAAGATGTTTGGCTGACTCTATTTTTAAGTAGAAAATGATTTTTAAAATTGTAGAATGTAGTTCACCTTTAATGGCCCAAGGTAGTTTGTGTTCCTTTCATTTTTGCTGTTTTGGTTCAATACTGAAGCCATTTTTCAGATCCAGAAACAAGCTACTATAGTACTTTGGTGTAAAGGCCACAAGTAGGTAAATGGTAGAAAAAATTCAAATCCTTGTCTGTCTGTGAAACCTGAGTGCTTTCCACTGTGCCTTCAAGTTGATTATTTTTTTTTATGACACCTATACTGAATGTAGGAAATTAAGTACTGTGATGTGTATGTGCCTGTGATATATACATGTACAGTCCCGATAAGCCAGGTTTATTAAGATAGTGAACTGAAAGGGATTGTACAATTTCCTAGCATATTTAATTTTACCTGCTTTTCCTACTTAGAGAGGTTGTCATTAGTAGGAATAGAGAGGGGAGAAGTTTTTAGATGAGTAGATTATAAGTTATGTATGTTGTAAAGTTCCAAGAGACATAGCTACATTATCACTGAACTTTTATTGGAAGTCAGTAGGAGAATTTGATTTTATAAATAGGTAAAAACTCTGGGGAGAAATCTAGGCTCTATGCTGTATATAATTTCATACATGTTTTCTTTTCTCCTTTGAATTCTTTTTGAGTCTATTAGTGAGGAATTATAGAATTATGCCATTAATAACTGTGTATTAAGATATAATTTCAATGGAAATAAAACATTTTGAAAAGTTTTAAAAAATATCTTGAAACTTCTGTGTTATAGTGGCCTATTTACAAAGCAATCAAATGATAAATAGATTTAGAAACAAGACATTGATTGTAACTGCTACTCAGTACCTTTTACTTGTGATGGATCAATATTTCAAGGTTGTTTTCACTTCACTAAATATGATTTCTATTCTTTAAATATTCATATATAAAATCACTAACCCAGTGACTTACTAGATGCATTTCCAAACTTTATCTTCAGGATGAGAAATATTTAACATGTCTTCTGATGGATTCCAGTGTGAACTTTTAGAACAAAAACAATTTGTTGTAATACTTCTATGTTACTCTTGACTGTAAGTTTCATTCCGTAAGACAGCCTTTTAGAAAGCAGTGCCTTACGAGTTTCTGTGGGTCAAATCCTTCCTTTTGCAGATGAGGAAACTGAGGTGCATAAAGATGAGGTGAGCAGTCCCCCGAGATCTAACCATTTGGTGTTGGGGTTGCTAACAGTACCTGTCCCTTGATGGAGCAAGAAATTTCTAATAGTGGTCCAGAGCTGACTCCTGGAACCTCACTGCCTGTTTTCAAATAATGGCTCCTCCCCTTGCCAGCTGGGTGACTTGAGGATACCATGATACTATCTACTGCATGGAGTTGTGAGGATTAAATGAGATAATTGGTATGAAGCGCTTAGCATGGTGCCAGGCGAGAGAAGGTGCTGGAGAAATATTAGCTGTGATTACTATCATCTGTATTGTTACCTCCAAGTTCAATTTTGTCTTGGATTTTTCCTCCTGCTATTGTGCGTTCCTTGGTCTCTTCTGTAATCAAACATCCCTGGATTGGGTCCAAGATGAAAGCACCAATTCTACTCTGTATTTAACAGTGAAAACGTATTTTTCTAATAAAAGCAAGGAAAAGTGAGATGGGAGAAGAGCCCCTTCAGCATTGTGCACTTCAAAATTAATCTGCTGTGGTGGTTTTAGAGTTTTAAAAATCATGACCCACTCGTTCTAGATGAAAGGGCTCATGCATATTTCTAAATTTACAATGAATAAGCACTTTTTGGTCATTAGACTAATCAAAAAAATAGGCAAGGTAAGATCTTGAAGAGGAAACGTGAACAGCTGGATGAAGTAGTTACTGGAGAATTCTATCAACATGGGCCCGAAGGACGCTCAGAGACCAAGGGAGAGCTATGGAAGGCATGGCCTGAAGCAAGGGGTGGAGATGGGAATCTGCTTCCTTAAAGTCGGGGAGGCCTGGGAAAGGCTCTAACTTGGGCAGGGTATATAAAGGCTGGAACCCTGAAAAGAAAGGCATGCGCTGAGACAGTAGTGAAGAGAAGTGAAGAAGGACTTAGTGGGGTGTTAGGAGGGAGTGTACAAAGCAGGGAAATTCTAACCTAAGTGGGCTGTTAAAATTCTGTTAAAGTATCAGATACAGTCATCCTTCAGTATCTGCAAGAGATTGGTCTCAGGTACCCTCCATGGGTACCACAATCCAGGGATGCTCAAGTACCTTGTATAAAATGGCCTAGTGCAATAAATGCAATCTGCTTTCCATACCTGTGCGTTTTGCATCTGTGATACAGAGGGTGGACTGAATTCCTCCAACTGAGCTATTGATTGATTCTCTTAAACGTTTGTTATAAAATTAGCAGTGTATGTGTGCTGAAAGGGATGGACCCTTTCAGATACCAATAGGTACAATAACCAGCTATTGCCTTTGGATCTTAGAGCAACAAGAAAATAAACAGCTAAGTTGGAGGAAGCCATTAACTGTGTGAGTAAGGCAGGAGGGCTTCCTGGA